TAACCACTTGTACCAGACCAGATCTGCTTGAAATACGTGGTTAGTTGTTAATGTTTTTACTTTCAGACTCAAATCCTGAAGAAGTACAGCGAATTTTGTTAGAACACCCTAAAGAAGAGTCCCGAACCTGCTTTCAATATGGCCGTCTTTTAGGCCGGTTGGCGCCTTTACGTGCCTTTGGAGACATTCGTTTTAAACTAGATGCTGAGCAGCAGAAAATGCTCATTGGAAGCATTGATCCAAAATTTAAAAGCTTTTCGAACTTAAAGACACCGCCGTACCTAACAGCAGAACCAGAGGTTTTCCGATACAGGCTTGAAAAGAGCGATAAATTCGTCGTAATGGCGACTGATGGTTTGTGGGATATGCTTAGCAATCAGGAAGTCATCGAGTTAGTTGGCAGCTATATAGAAGGCCGCGCGGCCGATATGATGCTGAAGCGGGCGGTAAGTGCGTCCATATCGAATCTAGATGAAGTACTGGCATCACAGAATACCTCCGATCCGGAGAAGGACAATGTTGCGACGTTTTTGATTCGCTGTGCCCTGGGTGGATATGACACCGGTAACCTAAGTGCCATGCTGACTTTGCCATATCCAGACGTGCGTATGTACCGCGATGATATCACTGTAGCTGTTATTTTTTTTGACCACGATGTAAACAATTAATTTTTAGTGTTTTAAATGATGGATTTATCGATCATGGTGTGTGATTATTATACGAATTGAGAAACCTGGTATTCATATTGCAAAGACAAGTTTCTTTCTAGGCTGGGTTACATTATCATCTTCAATTTGCTTCCAATTTTTTCTTCGACAACTGAAAGTGAGTTTCAGTGGCAGTTTAATGCCCCTTATTACAAGTTCAAGTTTTTTTGTAGTCGTCAGCTCGAAAACTTCATGCTCCAATTGTCTTTCCAAAAACGCGTTCTTTTAAAATATGGACCATTTGAAGATGATAATGTATTCCGTCCTTTGAACTTTTTATGGTTGTAAAAGAACAATTATTTATTAAGATCGTGGAATTTTTGCTTTTTAATTTTACGAAAGTTTTTATGTATCTTTATAACGAGTGTCTGTGGTTTGCCTTTGCTCTTAATGTTTGCAAACGAGAAATGTAGTTCATGTTGTGTTTGATAAAAGTGCCTACCTCCAACATGGCACAGGTTTGTAACGTGTCCAAATGACCAAGTATTGTTTAAGCAATAGCAGTAGAGCTGTAGAGCTAGTTTTGCACGATGCAATCTTTCTGGCAACTTGCCTCGCAATGATTATTGATGAGGTTCAAATTTCATGTAAGGCCTTTTACACTTAGTAACGATCCCTGCAACTGCTGAGGTCAGAAAACTGTGATGGAGATAGTCTGTAAACAGAGTCGCAAAACCTCAGATTGCAAAACAACTAGTGAAAATCAATGTTACACGGTGCAACGAAGTTAAAATATATGCAGTCATTGCCAAAAGAAAAACTAACTTCTATGCAACCGTTGCAAACGCAAAGAATCTGCGTTGGCACTAGACAGAAGTGACATGCTACGCAAGCAGGGTAGACATACCTCGTATTTTGAAAGAATACTTGCGAATTTACTGATTCATTCTGCGAGATTTTTGTAGCTTTAAAATATACCACGTAGAATTTTAAGTTGTGGTGATTGACACTTTTTGCATTTTAGTTATATTTTAACCTGTATTTTTAGGTTATATGTTAGACTTCTTAAGTCATTTATGTTTCATAAAATGTTTCTTTAGCTCCAAGTTTATATTCATTGGCTTTCTTTCTGTTTGTATATTCAAAAAATTAGCTCGAAATTTCCTAGGCTCCCATAAGTGGTTGAATTGCTTTGGCCGCGTCCGTCTCGTCAAAGAACATGCGCAGTAGCGACTACAAGTCATTGCGCATTCTCATCGATCCAGATGGGAGGAGACCGCGGTTGTTCGCATCGCCGAGAAGTCAGATAAATACTCGCAAGGACCGAGATACAACTTTTTGTTTGGAGGGGGTCAGGAGGGCCGGCATGAAAGGGGGCGTGAGGGGTGTGAGACACCCTTGAAAAAAATCATATTTCAAAAGCGTAGAGGTTTTGCAATCAAGGGATGCCTGGTCGGCAAATTTTCAAACCTGTTGGCAAATAAATGATTAATTTTCGGCAAATTTGACGGTCCGGGGGGATCCCTGCTGATTATATATAACAATAGCTGTCACCGGCAGTGCCAAACAAAATTAATTTTGGTTATGAGAAAAGTTTTATTACTGAAAAAAGTTTTATTCTTAAGAGGTTAAATGGTCACACATTTTAAGATAAATATCAGAACTTAAATAAAGATATGCCATTAGATTTCTTAGACTGAAAGATCTACGACAAAACGTCTCTAAAATGATTTGTGCTTAGTATTGGAGTTTATAAGTGGTTTCTTACAAAAATATAAGTATCCAAAAGACGTTGCAATCAGTAAGTGGGACCTCGATAAGTGGAACTTCTGCAGTATTCATGGGAATTAATTCCTTTGAAATGTACAAATGATATTTCCGCCAATATTAACTTAATGGAGGTTTTTAATAGCAAATGCTCGTCCTTGCCCCCACTTACCCGGAGTTTTGATTCTTGAATCTTGAAGACTTGAATCTTAACTATTTCTCAAACTACTAAATAGTAATTCAAAAGTGTTTTACTTATGGTACAAAAATTTTGGCCCTGGCCCCCCCCCCGGCCCCCCTTTATCTCGGTCCTTGAATACTCGTCAAAGCTGGTTGCATCGAATTCCTTTGGATCATTTTTATCGGCTTTCTTTGTTTCCATCGGAGCTACTAAGAATAGCAATGCATGGGTAATAGGTACTTTTCAGCCAATTCACGTTCAACTCTCATTCAAATACAAAATCAATCAATATTATACAAAGAATTTTGTCCATGTCCCTTATCCTCATACAAAGAAGATTTTTAAACCTATGAATTTATAGGGCAATAACAGCTTTTGGGCCATCCCTAATCATCAGTTGGGTACAATGTATTTTTTTTAAATATTTTGTGAGATAATATTGAACAATACTGCAGTATAAATGTAAAATAATACTTTCTAAAAGCATCTAGAGGAGGTGGTATGCAAATAATATCCTGAACATTTGACCTTTATATCACCGCTTTCACCTGCTCTTAGATAATCATTCTCTTGCTACGGCCCAGAATAAAATTTCTTAGTTTTTAGCAACCATAAAATTTATTAATTTACCAACATTGGGAGGGGAAAAAACATACAAAACTGTTGAGTACAAGGATTTTTCGTGCCTGCGAAGGAGTAATCACGTATGGCATTTGGCCATATGATTTGACGTAATATTGGATATAAAGCTAAGTATAAAAGACGTCGCTCGTTGGAAAACAACTTTGTTGAAGTCAGTGCCCATGCTTTGTGGAAGTTTTTTGGATATAAAGGTATGTGTTGATAAAGCATGTTTTGCTATTGATTTCTGGGATTTGGGCAGTGATAGGTTGGCTTGATTTGAGCAGTTAATAACAATATATTTTTATCTTTCAAGCTAATTGAAATGCACCAGTTGAGTTTTTATTATTTATCGATAAAATTTATGTTCAGACATTGAGCACTTGTCGTACCATCAAAGCCTTTTCGAAGGGAAATTAGCTATGGGGACAAGGCTTTGTTTATATAAAGAGGAATATAATAGCCAACTGTTCAAAGCAAGGAGGTCGCTGGGGCTAGAGGGGCAATTGCCCTACCCCTAGTTGATATGTTAAAAAGGTCCTATGAATCATCTTTTTTGTTTGTGCCAAGTAAGGTCGGTTGATGTGGAACTGCCTATAGCTAAACTAAAAACAGTCAACAGTAATCTGATATAAAATTTTGTCTGTAAATTAAAGTTTATTTTTTAAGTATATAAAGCTAACTTTTGTCTCTGGCAGTTTTATTACATGACTCAATGATCAGGTCTCTTGATTTAATATGGCCTTTTTCTAATCCAAGAAAAAATTACTTTTTTAGAACATGGCTGGTTGAGAAAATCTACTGCCAAGTTTCCCCATTCATCGTATTTTATTGACATATGGCATATTCTTTGCTACGCATCTTTATTGTGGGAGCAGCTCTCACCATAATTCTTGATGCCAAGATAATCAAACTAAGCAATATTTCAAGCGGAGAAAGTGTATTGAAACCACGTTCTCTACACCTGAGGAACAGTATTCAGGTAAGCAGAAATTGTTTAACTATATTTTCAGTTTCTGCCTTCCTACGATTTGTGGAGGTTGTTCTAGGTCTGGTTTTGTTGGGGAATCGGAAAGTTTTCTACCGAAGTTCAATCAAGTATCAAACCTTTACTGCAGGCACCGCGGAGCGTTGAGAAATGTGGGGGATCTAAAAAATGTGCGGGAGGGGAGGGCTGAAACCGTATAAAAAAGGCTTTACTGGTAGTTTATTACTTAAGATTTGGCATTTTTTGTAGAAAGTGGGGGGGGAGCTAAAGCCCCCTAGCCTCCCCTGCGGTATCTGTATTGCTTCTGCTCTTTACAGATGCGTGACTTTAGGGGGTATGGGGTGGTTAACTCGGTCCCCGACTTTGGTACAGGTCAGTTTTTAAAAATCGACAATTCTAATCTTTCTTTGTCCGAAATTCCGGTACCAATCATTTTTTACTATTTCAATATTTCAGTGCTATTGTCTGATATGACTTCGCCTTTTCCTTCGCCAAATTTAGATGATCCTGTTTTCACCTAAGGTTCCGTATTTTGTAGTTTCTTTATGTCTTTTGCCTTTACAGGGAAATGTGGAGATTGCTGATGATGTACTTTGGAGTCTTGAAGTCAAGATCACGGGTTTCAACGAATTTTATGAACAAGATGTCGCACTTTATTGCGGGGTGGACGAAAAAGACTCGATTCTTGATATCCAAGTCGTGAGTAGTGCTTTTATGACATCTATGAGAACAGGGGAATCGAAACTGGAGGCACAAGGTACATGAAGCGCCTACCTTTTTGGAAAGTACCCACTTTCTTAGAAGTATCCTTTTTATAACATTTGAAAAAGTACTCCTTTTAGACATGGTGCCCTTTCCTACCTGTGACCCTATCTTCTTCCCTTCTTTTTTATCTTCCTACTTTGAAATGCTACTGACAACGAGAAGCATTAAAAGTGTGCATGCTATTGGCAGGAATAAAGGAATGCTGAGGGCATCTGCCCCCTCCCTAACACAGCTTCAAACACGTGACGTCGGAAGCAGTGGTGGCGCCAGGGGAGGGCTAGGGGGGGGCTACAGCCCCTCCGTCGGAAGCATCTAGCCCCCCCCCCCCCCCCATTGGAGGATGTTTTAGGTTATTGTCGGAGCAAATTTGACAAAATAACGTACGAAAACTGCTTATTTTAGTCATTTTAGCCCCCCTGTTGGAAGCTCCAGCCCCTCTGTCGGAAGATTTCTGCCGCCACCTCTGGTCGGAAGTTTTTATGAAAACCTTCCAAAAGTATTTATCACATTATAATGTGTAAACATAGAGATTTGAGTTATGATTCGTTGCGTTGAATTTAAATTGTTCTTAGCTAGGATTGCCACATAGAAACCGTAGAATACAGAATATAATATTTCATGTCCCTTGCAAGGCAGTAAAGTAAAGATTGTGTGAGTCTTAGCAGTGAAAAAATTCCAAATGAAAAAGGTAGGCGCACACGAGAAGCAAAGTGCCACGAATGACAAAAATTTTCAAACATGCTTGATATCTTGATCGAAAGCAATCAGAATTCTGTTAAAGTTTCACCGTACACGGGAGCAAAATGCTTAAGCAAACTGCCACGAATGAAACTTTGATTCAGCATTTTGCTCTAGTGTGCGCCTACCTTTAGGCACCAACTACATAGGGATTACAAAAGGAGGCCCGAACCCCTCCCCTAGGTATCGCTAGAAGAGCCTCAGCCTTAAAGTAGTATAGCTATTTAGGAAGCAGCAAAATAGCAAGGTATTTCTTTATTGAAGAAACTGGAAAGCGAAAAGGTCCTTTGAGCAGCCGAGATTCTGCATAGAATGGACTTGTCTAACAGCCGGGGGGTGGGATGGTAACTTCCACATACACAGGTCGGGGATGTGTAATTTTTTTGTGTTCTTTTTTTCGTGTAGAAAAGAAATTTCGGGGTAATGATTTTGGCAAAATAAAACATGGCCATTGTGGGATTGATTTTAGCATGACCTTAAATTTGGGGGTGTCATTTTCAAAAAGAGGGTAATACGTTTTCATTTTCTTGATTAAGCTGTTAGAGTTGGGTTAAATTTAAGCGTATGCATTCACATGGTATCTAAATTTTGGGGTAGGGATTTAAGAAAATCTACAAATTTTAGGGTATCTTCTCAAATTTCAAATGGCTAACCCCTGTCCTCTGCTTATTAGGGTTACCCACGGGGTCTGATGCTGAGATGTAATAGATTTTCTATACTTTGCAAAGATAGAAATCCTTTTTATACGATATTTTTCTTTTAAGTTTAATTCAACCCCGGAAATTTCTATGCCAATAAAGAAATAAAGTGGAGTTTGCTGCTGTATTTTCTTCTCTTTCTTGCTTTCAATCTTCTCCTGTAACCACCAGACCACCATGTTTTCTAACGCTGTTTTTAAAGTTCTTGATGTATGTCTTTACATAATTATAATGAATAATTATAATGACCCAACCTGTTTTGAGAATAATCTCATTTAAGCGGGTCTCACCTTTTGTGCGTCTCATGCTTGAGAAAGCTTGATTAAATGAAATTTAATCACGTCTTATTTGTGACAAGGTACGCCTTTTCGGTGCCTTTCGGTGTCCTACTCTATCGCCGCGACTATAAATTTGATTCGCGCGAAAGAATTCGCCCTAATGGAAATCAGGCTTTAGTTATTTATCGTCTTTGCGATTGGCGCACCGACAATCCAAAAATAAATGGTCCAAATGATGAGATAAGGCCAACTTCAGTCTTATGATTGACAATGTTATAATATTATGAGGACCATCTTATCCTTATTTGCTAATGGTTTTTGTTTGGTAACCTGGAATAAATATTAATAGAGGATATTAGGAAGGTTACTTTGAAAATAGGACGTTTGTTTTGATTTGCAGATTTTGATCCTTGAGGCATTCTTATTTTAGACTTAATTATATAGAATTTGCGTCTTCAAATTATCTTTGTTATTTTGAATTTGAATCTGGCAACTTTATGCAAGGAAGAGTTAGTTGATCTTAGTTTCATTTTTGCTGTATTATTTGTTATATTGCCTTCTATTTTTCAGACATAGAAGGTTACATATTTGGTTTCGTCTTTTTAAAACATTATATTTGGTCATTTAAGGAATTCTCTTAACTGTCAATTATCCATCTCTCAACAGTTCCAGAAGAACCCTCCATCTTCACCCCAAGCTGCATCCAAGACGCTGGTAACTGTCGATATAATTTTGAGGGGCCCCGGCTACTTAATCATGCCTGGTTCGAAGATTTTCTTCAAAACCAAGAGCACTGGACGAGTTTTTCTAAAGCACTGGAGTGGATATAAGGATGCAATCGAAGTATATGGTAAGTGACATTTCAAGTTTGAGTGATTTCTAAAACTCTTGAAGCTCAATTATAATATGTTTGGAATCTAACAAGTTTGTTAAGGGCAATTTGCGATAGAAAGTATCGTATTATAAGAATGATGTTCAGATAGCTATATCAGAAACGAAGTAGACATATATCACTCCCCAAAAATCTGGCAGTTGCAACTGCAGCGGTCGCAAACGTCTGGATCCGCCCTTGGCAAGAGAATGAAGCAATAACAGACAATAATTAGCGTTAAAATAGCACCTTCTGAACGGTAACATTCATGATCTCTTTGGGAAATTGTTTACAGAACATGTCTTTCAATAGAACAAGACTTGAAGATAACCCTAGATTATGAGATGAGACGAAGTTATCAAATATTTGGCGGTGTTAAAGGAACTTGTAATATAGTCAAAGCAACGGATGATAAAATTTTACAAAGTTTACAAATGCTAGATTGAACAGAACAACAGCCCACTCATTCTAGTCCTCTTGTCACTGATGTGATGCCAAACGAGATGAGTTGCCATTGTCATTGGCTGTGTTTGTCAATCTCTAAAAAAGGCATTTCAGAGATAAGTGGTTGTGTTTTGTATTTAGTCTTTTGCCTGAATACGAGGTTAAGAGGTCCTTTTAATGAAAAGAGGATATGCCGTTCTAGGCCAGTCTAGGTTAGGATTAATCCTCTCACATAAGTTAACTGTTTTAACCATGTTTTTATGTACATATTCTGAAAATCCTGTCTGAATGTTTTGCCCTTTCTACTCTAGAGGTGCCGCCGGTATACCGTATGCTTGACATTTCCCATCCATGTTATGATGCCTGTGAGAATGCTTGCGATGTTCTGGATCACTTTTGTTTGCCTTGCAAAAGAGGCTTTGAATTTGACGCTGGGAAATCAGAAAGGAATGACGTAGAATGCAAAGGTAAAACAGCAAGTTCTCTGAATCATGAAATATCATATCACGTGACATATAGCATATGGTTTCCAACACCACGATATTACTTAAAGGACGTAGTCAATAGAAGGCTAAGGAGATTAAAATCTCCCCGCCCAATTTCCGAACAGGTGATAAAAAAAAGATATGCAAGAAAGAAAAAAATTTAAAATTCAAATTTTATACTCTGTTGAACAAAGATAACAGATAGGGTCCTGCCCAGTTTTTTATCTTCCACCAATTCTAGTTGACCTCCAATGGTTGTCCTTTCTTAGGAACATGCTTGTCCTTAATTTTTAGGAACATGCTACTAGATGTCCTTGCCCAAAGTTACATAACACTACGGCTAAAGTGCAAATGTACATTTCATTTATAATATTGACCATATGATTCACAAACATATAATTGACCATATGATTTACTTTTCTAGATATCGATGAATGTGACATTGGCACGCACACCTGCCCAACAAACACGCAGTGTGAGAACACAATTGGTGGTTACAGCTGCAAATGTCGTGAAGGTTTCTTTGGAGATGGGCTGAATTGTCAAGGTAGAAATTCCATTTGAACAATTCTTGCTCGTGTTCTCAAATCACTGCAGTTAAAATTAAGGCTCTTATTTCTAATTCAAAGTCTGCAAAGAGTCTTTGTCCTTTAACACAAAAATACATAGCACCCGTAAGCAAAGTAATACGATGGTCTTTTGCTCCTTCACAGCCGCCGCCCATGTATATCATTTTTGTCTAATTTTTTACCTCCATTATTAACTATTTTATTCAAAATAATGGCTCGTAAAAATATTGACAACTGTTTTGAAGTTCACTTCTTCTATCAACGTTATCTCATTTTAAAAAACAGTGAGCAAGAGGTAATATTGCGTTTTTCTTTATAAGCATGATTAACGTTTATGTCTTCTGTACTCTTGCTGATTTAGTTTGACTTATGTGATTCTAACTATCCTTTCTAGCAATCTCCTTGAATTTCAGAAAGGTGCAAGTTTCTGCCCTTTTTATCTATGATTAAGTGTTCTCTAGATATATATGTTGTAAACCAACATTGTTTTATCAATCAGTGGTAGACAGTTTACATGTTTACTGCTTTTTTAAATCAAAGGCAGTCGACAGATACTAAGTGGTATAAGACATCTGCAATCCTTGCCAAAATTGTTGGAACACTTGTGCAAAGCTGAAGCTTGAAAATGGGAAGGCGTTCCAGTTATTTTTGGCAAGGATTGTGCCAATCAGAAATTGGCCAATCAATAAACATGGGACAACTAAGACGCTTACTGATTGGACGAAAGTTGATTGACATGTGTCTTAAGCCTGCTTAGAATCTGTCGATTGCCTTTAAACGTCTCTATTGAAAGCTCTTTGTGCCTGTGATATTCTGTGTGATCGGTAATACATGTTTTGCCGTTGCTGCTTGTTTTATTTCCTAGCGTGTAAACCTTGCCCATCTGGATGGTACGAGTTTTTGCCATGCAACGCAACACATGATGTAGTTTGCAAAAGTATGTCTGTCATCTTTGAATTTTGCATTTTATCTGATTTATGTTTTCAGGACCCGCGCCACAGTAGTGGCCTGGAGGGTCATGGCTTCCCCAATTTTTTTGTAAAATAAGATATTAAAATCAGCTCAAATTATTTTAGATGGATGAATCTGTCTGATAAATCAGCAATAGCAAATTTTTTGCAATTCATGTGGAGTTATTAAGCTTGATCTACCAAACGTATCTTGTATTCCGAATAAGCCTCAGATATTGTCAGATAGAAATAACTTTAGTATGCTATGTTTCCATTGTTCGATGATATTTTCGTATTTATTTTGATTTCCCTCTTGTCATTATTATCATAGAATGCAGTCCGCCATGTGAACGCTACGCATACGAAGTCCATTCTTGTGGAGTTGGGTATGACAGAAAGTGTGAAGGTAAGATTGCCTAGAATCCGGTATGCGCTTGCTATAATAGAACAACATCGTACATTTGTTAGTGGCATTCCGTTTTCTCTTCAAGGTGACAATACATACAAATTACCGTCAAAGATTTAATATTCCTTAAACCCTTTCCTGCATAATTTTGTTGCTCAACAACAATCTTTGGAAATATTGCTGTCGCTGCACAAGAGACTAGATTTGTCTGAAAACCATGTAGTCTGATTTGCCACAGGTAGTTTATATGAAAAGTTAATAAAACCTTTATTCTGGCGTTTTACATGAAGTATTGGTTAAGTTGAAGTTTTGGCCTAAGGGCAATCGACGGATGCCAAAAGCTCTGTCAATCTAAATTGGTCAATTAATAGGCGTAATACTACTGACACATTTATTGATTGGCAAAAAATTTTGATTATGTTTGTCACATTTTTTGATAATCTATATGAAACTAATTGGATTATATTTAGGTGGTTTCTTTTTAGGATCTTTTTGGTTTGTGTTGATATTTAAATTAAAATGGTCGAGTACCTTTTTTTCTTTCTTTATTTGAAGTTGATACAGTTTCTAGCTGTGCATACTCAAGCTAGTTAAAACCAACTAATTTAAATTACCAACGCTAAATAAAATGTAAATCAAATATAACCGATGTTGCTAACGTAATCCTTGCAAAGATTACAATTACAATTGAGCAATTGAACAATCGAAATTCTGAGATTTTTTTCTTGAATATTTGTTTGTACTTTATTTCGTTTGGGGCTGAGTTCTTTATTTGCCTATATCTTTATGATACGGTATTAAATCCATATATTTTGTAATGTGGCACAGCTGTTTTGAATTGGAAGTTTCTTAAGTAATATGGACATTCTAAGTTGATGGTCTAGTGTTACTCCCAAAAGTTAAACATTCTTACTTTCTTTTATAGCAGAACCATTTATTTGAATTTTAGAATTTTCTAAATTAGATCGGTTGGCTTTAAATGTTATAAGCTTACTTTTATCGCCATTGATCGCAAAAAATTTTTTGCTTAATTTTAAGTCGTCAATTAGTTTATTTATATCAGTACTTGACAGCCAAATTGTATTGTCATCCGCATAGTTGCATAAGTTGCTTTTGTTCAAATGCATAAATGTATCGTTTATGTAAATATTAAAAAGCAACGGGCCTAAGATTGATCCTTGACGGCAGTATTGTCAAAAAACAAACACAAAGTCAAATTTTTTCTGGAATCCCATCACCAAATTTCTTTTGAAAACATTCAACTTCAATAAACTACTTCTTAATTTATTTTTCTTAATAGATATTCTCACAGGTCTTCAACCAATCGATGCTTCTTCGATGTTAAAGCCAGCTAAAAGTGAGAGAATATCCTATTTTCCATTTGACCCACCAATTGCCACAGTATTCAGGAAAAAAAGATTTTTAACAGAATTGCTTAGCATAAAAAATTTCATCTGTCTTGATGCTCACTGAAAATAACTATCAGATAGTGATTGTGCGAAATACTCTGTTAGTGACTCTTCTTCGAGACTTTCAAGTTAAAAATCCTTACTTAGTTGAAAAAAGTCTTCTTTTAAATTTCCTTATTTTTCTCCACTTGATGTTTATGTAGGCGTAACCTTTTCAGTTAACAAATAAGCAAAAACGTATCATATTTTCAAAGTGCTTCATGTAACATGCATGATCTTTTATTTATAAGAATATTTATAAGAAGCATAAAGGCTAAGATTCTGAAAAGCTGAACATTTCAGGAAATGGAACCTGGTTATAGCTCCTTGAACCACGATTTGAATTTGTAATTGATAAAAACAGCCTCTAGTAATCACAAAATACTTTATTTCCTTTCCGTCTTCCATGCTTTTCGATTCTACCTTCTTTAGTTTTAGAGAAGAATTTGAAAGCTGTATAAAAATAGTATCAGTGGGTGTTATAATATAAATTAATGCTCGATATATAATTCATGTATGTTAATAAAATTACTTTAAACTGACATCTAATTGGTACGCTGTTATGGTAGTTTTATATTGGTTACCAACAATTTTAGGTTTTCCTGGATCTGAGCTCGCTCCTTTTGCTGGCCTTGAAGAATACATCATAACAGATGACCGAATGCGTTCCACAGCAGCCGAGACGAGCCTCGAATTTGCAGAGAACGTGGACAGGGAAGCGACAATATGGCGTTCGAGTTACTTGCAGATTGATTTGAAACTATCGCACGTTAATGTCTTACCAACCTTTGCCGACTCCGCTCCATTGATACCCGAACAGGACAGGTTCTTTGCAGATTTTAGTGGGTTGGTGGAGATAAAAAACTCATACTGTCGCCATCCCATTGGTGATAGCTACGCCTTAAAACACGAGTTTTATAATGATTATAAGACTACAGTGACAAAAAGATATTGCACGACGAAGCAAAAGGATCTATGCCCAGATGAAGCAGGGTTCGGCCAGGTGTATGCAAAAAGAAGTGCTATACCATGTGGCAATGAAAATAAAATCAAGCTCGATCATACCAAGTTGGTTTGCAGTTCATACGTAAACATAGCTTCAGTATTCGGGATTACAAAGTATATGTTTGACGATGCCCTAGTGTGGAAATTTCAGGAGAAATCATGTTCTTATTTATACACTGCGTGCAGTCAGTGTAGGAAAGATAAGTGCACGGGAGAAAAACCGAGGTTGTCCTGCGAGAAGCAATGTGATTACATTTGCCAATGTTATCACAAAAAGCATTGTGCAAAAACAATGGTGCATTGTGCCACGGGTGATCTGAGTGAATGGACGCTCACACAGAGGTTCGAAGGTAGAGATTTGTCTGAAAGGTTCAATTGCTATTTAAAGAGAGTCATTGCTGACAAGCTTTTTTCAATAAGCTATCGCGTTAAAGTTCCTAATACTGAACTGAAGAGCGATTGGATCCGTGTCAGCGAGAGACAGGTTCAAAAAAGAAAAGATGTATTTAAAATTGGCAATTTTGAAGTCAAGTACGAAAGAGGCGAAACACTCACAGACAATATCGTCCTAACTGGGCACAGATCAGGCCAAAGAAGTGCTGCCAAATATTTTTTTGACTTGCGTAACATCAAAGGACTCGTTCAAGCGGACTTTTTGCAAACAAGAGGTGAAGTTAATTTTGTACCTGCACAGCCGTTTTCCCACGCAAGGCACCAGTGGTCGGACGAATCAAATTGCCGAGTGTTGTCATTCTGGGAAAAGTATTTAGCAAAGACCGAGTCCCCCATTCTTGATATGGCTGTTAACAAGGTAGGAAAATCTGGTCAAAGTTTTTTATACACAGTGCAAAGTCACAAGGAGAACACGAAAATTAACATTTCGTTTTCAAGCAGTAAACCTGTACTGAACTATCTTGGAAAAGTAGCCAGAATTATAAAGCTGAATTCAACAGCAAAAGCAAATTCTAGTCACTGGATATTACATTTGAAAGCAAATATAACCGCTTGTCCGGCGTATTACGAAATAACGGTCATCGAAAAGACAGCTAGTGCTTTGGTTCTAAAGCAAGATATCTTGGTGCTCTGTCCATCAAATCATTTTCATGTTGTTGCGGTTGTTCCAAAGAAGATGTTACTTCCAGCTTACAAAGCGCGTTTGTTTATGGTTTACGTTTCAAATGGGAAAAACGTTTACGAGGTCCACATTGAGAAGTTGGATGAGCTGAAAGTGGAAGGGCGATTTGACTTCAAAAGAGCCACGGAAAAGAAGTCGGTGTCAAAGAAAAACTTTGATGTACGCATGCTCTCAAAGTTTGATTCAATCATTCTTCTCACCGGCGTCTTTATAATTGGAATCATTACGCTGTTAGTGCTTGCGTGTTTGATTAGGCCAAGTAAAGAGCAAAAAGCCCGCCAAAAGGGACGTCAGCATGCCGCAGTGCAACTTGGTCAAAAGGACGATGTGAGGAAGCAGCTTGATAACGAGGATAAACTTCAATGGAGGCATCTCATTCCAATTGTCTTTCTGGTGGCGTTTCGCGTTGCTTATAGTTTTGTGCTCACTGTTAGTTTTGTTGTCATCGTTTTCAACATTGTAAACAAAAGCGATCTTGAAGATGTCCAAGACTTTAAAGAATTTGTCCAATTAAAAATCAACCAGAGCAATCAGATTTCCCTCGCTTTGGATCTATTTCGTGAGAGTGAGACTAAGATAATGACAGACAAAGCAGCCTTTATGGAATGTGCATGTGATTATCACATGGGAAGAATAATGAGGAACATGCGTGATAATATGACTGCCATGATACAGCTGCACGATTTGATAGCTTTTGACAAGGTAGGAACAACAACAATTTGAATTTTGGATTTTTGGTGGCTTGTCACTGCTAAAAGATTTCCTTCCTTACAAAATGAAATATCAGAACGTTTAATAAATGTGAATCCTAACTTTGTACTCATGTTTCAATCAAACGTACAACAGGTCTTAGGCAGCCAATCCTTGTTGAGTTAAGTGGAGATTTTTGACAATGGTATCGTAAAGAGCCCATGCTGTACCTCCTCAACTGAGTCAAGAGAGCCCATGCTATTCTGCTTCTAAGTCTGAGCAACAATTCGAAATAACGTTTTTACTTCCCAAAAGAGCCATTTATATTGAGACAGCTTTTAACAGTGATGCTTGTGATCCGTTAGCCTTTGTTAGCAGTTTGGATCCCCACAACGATTAACAAGTTCCGGTTTGAAAATTATGAGTTGTGAAAAAGGCCCAAAATTGGCACATTCTGCAAAACATAACTTTATATTAGTGCATAAAGCCTAGTCCTGTGTAGATTGATACCTCTAGTCTGCTTTCGATCCTACCATTCTACTGTCAATTTTTGAATAAGTTTGTTCAGTAATTCTTTGTCAAAATGTGCAATTTTAAATCTTCCTTCAAGGCTGCATGTCAGTACGCCAATACATAAATTTTTGTTATCCAATCGTTGGTCGTTGAAAAAATGCGATAATTTTCATGTGTCTTTGCAGCTTTGACGTCATCATTTAAGCTGCTTGTCCAGAAAATTATTTCATGTTTGGGACACCATATTTCTTGAGAACAACTTGATTTTATATATTTGTTTCGACTAGCTCCGGCGAGAAAGATGGTGTCCTGCAAGTTGGTATACAGGGCCGCCGAGAGCCACACCGAGCAACAAGGATAGGCCAAATGCTTGGGCCCCTTCCTACCCAAAGCAATAAACTTGAAATACTTTTAACATGGATGTAAAAGGCAAAAAAACATTACTTACTTTAATTAATTATTATTAGTAAAGCATTCTTATAAAGAGACATATTTTGAGTAGTGTCAGTTTGATTACCAGCGGACCCCTCTTTGCTTAACCAAATGAGCTTGTCAAAATCTAGATTTTAGTCTGCTTAAAATTCTAATCTTCCTTTCTTCATTGCAGATCAGCGAAGCACTGATGAGAGTTGTGCTGAAAAGAGTTGCTGTATTGTCAGCTATTAATGGCAAGATGTACCGTTATAAGGGAAGGATCGCCAGGACATTATATCACATTGAGAGCAGACTAAACGGTTACGCTTATAGGATTTATAGGAATAAGTATTTTACGATGGCCCGGGGCTTATGGGGGGCATGGCAGGACTTCAGATCACTTGATTTTCTCAGTTCTATAGGATCTTTTGATTCTACAAGATATTATCAGATTAAACGTGAGATTGCTTGGCAACTGAGGAAGTTGAAAAACATGTTTAAATTTGATTCGATCGTGAAAAGGTTGTTGAAGCCTCTCTACCCTATTGCCAATGCATTGCTGGCACCCTTACGAAACATGAAGAGAAAAGTGAAGGAGGCAGTTTATCATAGAATCAATAGCATTAAAGACAAAATCCTTAGAAACATTCCATGTATAGGCAATATTGATATGAAGAAATGGCAGCGGTATGATGATGATGATTACGACGAAGAGGCCAGGAAGAGGTGTCGTATACAAGCAGCTAATAAATTCATGGAGAGAATTATTGACAATATAAAGTCAGCAAAGAATAGTTCGGGTCAATTTGTTGTCAGTTCTGTCAGAGATGATGCTTCATTCAACATCCTAGAGGGAGACGCGTACGAAGAAGCTCACGAGAATAGACAAGAAAAACGACTAGCAACTTTTAAAAAGCTTGCAGATTATTACAAAGGAAGCGAAGAGGCTAAGGTAGCATTAAGGCTGCTGAAGTCACATTCGGTCATTTTAGTTTTAATTTTTGACGTATTGCTCATCACATACCGAAGCCTTAAAACATACCGATTTGCTTTTATGATGGCATCAGGGTATGAAAAGAAGGTGGAGTATAAACGCATTGGGGAGAAACTCAGAGGCGACGAAATCAAGAAAGAGAGATCAGCTGGAAGGAAAATGGTCGACTGCGTGGCAAAGTTCATCTCACTTTTCTTCAGTACGTTTACATTAATGCTGAAACTGATTTTCACGACAATTCTCATACCAGTTTTGGTGATAATTATAGCAATACTAGTTTCATTTTACCTGACAATAGCATTTGCCTATAATGGAATGAATGTAGATGCGTTGGAGAAACTTGGTGCATTCAAATTTCTATCCAGTCGCTTGGATCTGAACTTTAACGTGACAAGAGAAGCGTTGAAAGAGCACGCTTTGTATCTCAACAAATTCGACGTAGGCATGTACAAAGAATCTATTCGCGTGCAGACTGAAGAATTTCGTAACACTGTCAAGGAATTCAACGCAGATGAAATTATACGCGTGCAGCGTTTGCACGCAGAACTTTGTGATACTGAAGATAGACAAGCGTGTAACATAGACTTCAAAAGACTGATGGAGAAGCTTGAGATGAATGTCAAACCGTGCGTTTTTCCGGTAATAAAGGC